TGCAAATGTCCTGTTCTTGGTTTTAAGAACATAGGAACAGTTACAAACCAGAGGAGGTCATTCAGTCCATCTAGCCCTTGTGAGAATTAGTATTTAATTGCTCAGAGGATCTCAGCCAGCCCTTTCTCATAAAAAAACTAGGATATTAGCTTCCACAACATGGGTGAGTAGCTTGGGTCCAGGCTGTCCTGTGTTTTGAGTTCACTTCTCTGCATTTTCCACTTGTGGCTGCTGGTTCACGTGCTGGGTCGTGTTTGTCAGAGCCTCTGAGCATTTTGAATACCTGTGTCAGGTCCCCTTGTAGTCATCTCTCTTCAAGACTAAAGAGACTCAGTTCCTTCAGCCTGTCAGTGTGGGACACTCTCTCCAGACTAAAGAGACTCAGTTCCTTCAGCCAGGCAGTGAGTGACACTCCCATCAGGGTAAAGAGACGCAGTTCCCTCAGCCTGTCAGTGTGGGACACTCCCTTTAGCCTAAAGAGACTCAGTTCCTTCAGCCTATAAGTGTAGGACACTCCCTTAAGCCAAGGAATGTACATGTACGTAGTTATTGGGTTGGAATGGTCTGGCATTTTTACAAGGTTGGGATAATCCTTCTCTCTTCCCAGTCTAGGGCTGTAACTACCTGGTTCTCATTTCAGTGTACACCTGAGGTGGACTCTTAGCTCAAAATGCCTTTAAAGATATTCCATTCCTTCGGAACGTATATGGCATTCCTCTGAGGAAGCCCTGAGCACCGAGAAGCAAGGAGGCCCACTTTCCCTGTGACGTTCACTTGGCTCGGTGCCGCCCTCAGCAGCTGTGACTCTGCTACTGGAGCTCAATGGAAACTGTGGTGTTTATATTTAAACAGGTCATGGAAAGAAAAGTGCTGACTGCCTATTTTAGCGCACTTCATAAGGAAACGTCTGTCCTGTGGCGTATCTATAATTGGAAGGGGCTGAATTTAGGATTAATGCCGCCCCTGTCTTCATCCACCAAGACTGGGATGAGATCCAGCTTGTAGCGTGATCAGGGAGTGTAACAACTTTCTGTAAGGTGAGGCTTTTTGACCCCAATATCCTCCTGGCATCCATAACAGTCACTTTGCCCCCTCCCCCCCTCCTCCTAAACTGAACGTCCACCTGTGCCTGGGAGAAGGTAGAAATCAGCTCACTTCCATTAGGAACAGGACAAATGGAGTGAAGTAACAAGGAAACTGTACAAGATCCTGCCTGAAGAAAGACACAATGGCCCAGCTGCTAGCTAAGCAGTGAACTACCTCTGGCAACACAAAAAAGGAGCTTGATTTGCGCTGGTCTTGAGGAAAAAATATTTTGGAAAAAAACTTCAGTTTATTGTCATCTGCGCAAGTACAATGAAATGTTTATTTGTATTTGGGCTCCAATACAAAGACCGAAGGGAATCACCAAAAACAAACACAACAGCAGCAGCAATAACGAGTTAATTAACATACAACTTAAAAAAAACACACAAGTGTGAGCTAAGGGTCCAGGTACAGTTCGGTAATCTGACAGTTTGTGGGATGAAACTGTCTGAATCTGGAAGTTTTTGCCTTTATGCTCCTGTAACGCTTAACAGAGGGAAGGGGGGAGAAAAAAGTGAGAAACCAGGATGACTGGTGTCCTTAGCGATACTTCCAGCCTTCCTGAGACAGCGAGTTGTAAACATGTCCACAGTAGAGAGGAGCTGTACCCCAGTGATGGACTGGGCGGACCTGATCACCCCCTGTATCGCTTCCAGTGAGACGAGCTGCTGCCCAACCCCACTGTAATACCACAGGCCCCAAGGTGCTTGTGAGGGCTGCTGTACACACCTGGTGAAGCCGAGCGATGAAACTAGCATCAGAAAAGCTGGCGGCAGGGACACTGGAGAGCCGAGAGGCACGAGGAAAAAGTGGACACCTTCTGAATGTCAGACGTGCAGGAACCAGCTGCACCAATCAACAGTTCGGCCAAATTCCAAGTAACACGGAGCAGAGAAGAATCGTATTGAAAGCTGACCTGTCATCACTCACCTGCCCTGGAGGACACACGAGGAATGAGCCAGGGAGCTGCTACAGGAGTACAGCCAGGGAGGAGGGAGGAGCACAGAGGTGATGCTCAGCAGGAAAGAGAAATGAATGCACAGGAGAGCAGACATGGCCTGCACACAAACAAAGGCACCAGCTTTTGGTGAAATTCTTTAAAACTACAAAGGAATAATTCACGTTTTTTCCTTTACAACTCAAGAGAAATTCATTCGATTGCTAGCGGCTCATTAATCCGAGAGTCTCGGCCTTGTCGCGGTTTAAAGAGGTCCCTGATCTTGCCAGTAGCAACGGCGGTGCAGGAGGGGGAGACCAGTCAACTCCTCGATCAGCACAAAGCAACGTAACCAAGAAAAAGAAAAGGCATGTTTTTTTTTGCATTTGTGACTCTGCATAGTGCAAGGGTTACTGCATTCAGGTATCCCCTTCCTGGAGCTACTGAAGGTTTCGCATCGATCTTGGGACCAACGACTTCAAACCCACCCCATTCAGCCTCAAGGCCCTGTGCATTATGCCTGGAACCAAGTGCAAGGCCAAACAAGTGCTTTTGTTTTGCGGTTGTGGAAATGGCCCAGTTTTCCATTTCACACCCAAAGGCAATCGCTCCTGATCCATACCTGCAGCTGCACAGAATCCCGAGATCCCGAGGGAACGGACTCTCTGCCCGCCCGTACAATCCCAGACGTGCACAGCAGATCTGAGTTCGCTCACAGATGCCTAGAGACAACCCCCCAGTACAGTAAGTGAGTATCCCGACACAAATCCCATTCAAAGTTTATTGTGATATCTGGAGTAGATTACAGTGAAAAAAAAAACAGACAAATGTGACGTACATCTTTACTAAGACAATTAGCGAAGCAATGTAACCAAGTAAGAAGAAAAAAAAAGAAAGCATATTTTTTGCATTTGAAGTAAAATCAGGCACGACTCAATATAACCATTATAAATACAACATGCTTTAGACCTTATAATATTTTAACAGTCCTATGAAAATAACACTCTTCAAACTTACAATCCTTTCCTTTGCATCCCCAAGATACCCTACAATAATGTCTTTAGAGTAGCATCTCTAATATATTAACAGTTCTAAAGCTTCAGCCAGTGTCATTGCACAACAATGAGAGTAAACTCCTTCTCACAAATCAAGATTCTTTGGATACCCAAAGAAAGGGACAGTTTCATTGTTTTTAAAAGTATATAAATCTGGTTTCTTTCCAATCATGTCATCCCTAGTGGTATTTCCTCACAACAGCATCAGCTGTTCTTTAACTCTTTAATACACTAACTCATAATCTGCTTTTGCCCTTTTGTTTCCTTCTTTTTAACCCGAGATTTAATCCGACTGTTTTCGCAATGACAATGGCTTCTAGGTTCCGAAAAGTTATTTTTTCCATGAATAACTGCGCCAGCCCTCTCCCGTTTACCGTCACAGAACAACATGTCCAGGAGAAACCAGCTCACCCTAAGTCCGTGTGGCTCCCGAAAAAGAGCTAGCGACTGTACTGCCATCAAGACTTCAGAAAGGAAACAAAAAAAAAAAAGCTATAAATCTTCACGCTCGCTATCAGCTCCAAAAGAAAGATACAGAGTGACAGCAAAAAAAAAAACACACACACAAAATAGCCAGAGGTACAGTTAACAAAAGTGCTTCAAGTTGGGAAGTGAAAGAACTTACCCAGTAGAAATATGTATAAAACTTTAAATATGTTCTTATATGTACAAAACTGTTACAGGGAAAACGCCTTTTCTAAGTTTTTCCATCTGTAGTTTTTCAAGTAGGTTATTTTTATATCCGTTTTCTTTATTTCATTTTAGTTTAATCCGACGTGCTGAATGACAGGCCGTGTAACCAGACCGACCTTTTCTACATTTCAACAGTCTCCAACAATCCAAGTCTTGGCTTCACCAAAAAAAAAAAAAGAAAAAAAAAGCTTGTCCTCTCCCCTCCTCACACCCCAAGAAATAATATCACTGAAGATTCTAGAATACGGGGTTCTGTAATGCAACGTCGACACTATTAAAATGTTTCTAAACCAAAATTCCCCACCCAATTTAAAAATTGCCGATATAGTCAGAACCACAACCACCCAAATGATGCCAATATAATTTATAAAAAAAAAGTAACTTTTTATTTCATTCGCTATATAGCATAATTAGGTTTTGGTGAATACGTTCAGGGAAACGTGCCTTAAACCATAACACTTCCTCAGGGAGCACAAGTTATGCACTGCACAACAGGAGAGACAATATCTTTTGAAGAGGCACAAGATTCATGTTGATTAGAGGCAAAGACCATTCAGACACTCTGGTACAACAGTAAAGTGCAGAAGAAGAACCTCAGAGCTGGGGACTGATTCATTTTTCTTTTAGCAGCAGCAGGATGTTGTAAAATATTCAGGATCGTTAAACCCTCGTGACAGTAATGTTTCTAATGCATGGATTTAAACAAATTAGCAAAGAGAGAAATTAGTGTCATCATGAAAGAAACAGAAGATTGCCCCCGATTATTTCTAAAGGTGATCAGGGCTTTGCCAGTTTTCGGCCTCTCTCCTTCCGAATATTCACACATCACAGTTCCAAAAGGGGCAGTTTTCCCAGCCATCATTCAAACCTGAATTCAAGTACAATCTTTCAATCGTCACCAGGAAAGGCCATGAAGATGAAGAGCACACAGAGCAGATAAAACAGACTTTTTTTTTTGCCTCTAAACTCTCATGAAATCTGGAACCTCCACAAAGTGCAAGAGTTGCTGCATTCAAGTATGCTTGTTTTAATTCTTAATGCGCCGATACGGAGGGGGAGAAAGAGGGGGTCTAATGTCTGCTCGTTTCCCCTACTGTCCAGTGCATTGTTTTTTTCAGTACTGCTGCAATATGGGACCAGCCACAAATGCCACTGAAAGCAATCGTCTGTAAGTTCCCCAAGCACCTTCTACGGCTGACGACCAACACCTGCAGGTGCTGTAAGGTATAGTACCAGGTGTGCCCACAGATGCACAGTGAAGTAATCAGAACAACAACAAGGAGTAGATGGTACACAGGTGATATCATTAATACAAAATACCAATTCACTGCAATCCCCTTCCCACTTAGAAAACACTATACACTGCTACATAGTACTGCTCCCTACCTCTACACAGCCGTCAGCTATATCCCATTATTACACTGCAAATTAAGCATGCACAGCAAGAGAGAAACAGACTGGAGCTGAAAGAAGAGCAATGCTAACCAGTAACATCAGTCTGCCGTCAGGTAAAAGTCTCTCGTGAGAAATGTGGACACCCACTCTTTAAAACCACAAGGTTTTTGTTTCTTGCTTTTCTTCTTAAAATAAAAGGTTTTCTGAATAGCGGCCTCTCATTTAAATAGTGGTTCACACATAATAGAAAACACCAAATCTTTGACAGGGAGTAACAGAAGAAAGAGTCCCCACCCCCCCCACCCGTCCCCTCACGAGGCAACAGAAAAGGTTAACATCAAAGATTTTTTTGTCTTCTTTTTTTTACATCTTCTTGTAAAATGTTGCGACAAGCTTGGAGACACCTGGAAAACATGTCCTCCATCCCCTGGGTCAGTCTGCAAAGTCCTGGACAGAGCATAGGGCATGAAACAGCCAACATCCTCAAGAGGTCCAGGGGTCACTCCCAGCCATTGTCCTTGATCATGTGAGCCAGTTCGATTATAAATTTTCCTTCTTTGTACTTCTGACTGCTCTCAAAGGCATGCTCCTGCGGGGGTCAAGCAGAGATTTCATTAAACGGAATTTAAAAAGAAAATCAGCATCAGTAGTGATCTTTGAGTTGTATTTTTATGATTCTTCAGTGTATAAAGCCAGCGCTTTGAACCTTACGAAACGGTTTCTGTCACTTCTAGCCTCTAGTTCTGAAGTGAAGTATTACTGGTTGGTACACAGTGCTTCTGACAGAGCTGCGATAAGTACTTGCAAAAGAAACTATAGATGTTGATCAAAATGTAGAAATAACTGTACACAGAAACCAAGAACTTGTGCTTCCTTTTTTACTGAAGTACATATCCTACTGGTGAGAAGCTATGAAAGCATTCAATTAACAAAGAAAGACAGCAAATTAGCCAATTGACAATCACCTATCCGTGGTTGGCACTGCAGAGGTACAATTAACGTCACAGCTAACCCAAAGATAGAAACAGAGGAAAATGCTTTTACCCCCTCCTGTAATAACTCAGTTAAGATGAATTAATTAACCTTTTAAGGGGTGAATCACGAGACAACTGCTTCATGGTCCAGTAGCGTGACTATTCAAGCCCAGGTGTGGACACATGGGACATGTCATCGGGGGAGGGACTGTCTTCCCCACACAGACATCAGAATCCTCTAGTCCCTTTCTATTGGAGCTCTCGATGACCTCACTAGTGCGATTATAAATGCTTACTACAAAACTAAAAACTCTTTTAAACAAATAGCGAGACATGTCAAGTGGCATCAAATTATGAAGCATTTTTTTTTTTTACAAAACCTAATGAAGCAAATTCCTATAAATTCCAGGTCCAATTAAGGGGCAAACAGCCAGAACAGTCCCAAGAAGCAGAGGCGGGGAGTTTCTGTGCTCAAGGTCAAGGGATGACCGACCAACGACTTACATATTTCCACCCTAAAGTGGTTTTGCAGTTTTCACAATAGATGTCGGCCACAGCGTGTAAACCAGTGAGAAGGACCCTCTCCTCCGCCGGACCACAGCCCACGTTCACACTGGCGGACACAGACGAAAACCAAAAGGTCAGTGGCACCCAAGTCATACGAGAAAAAAATTAGGCACAATAAAAGTTAAGAAAAGTAAAAAGTTAAAATTACAATCTGGGGCTTATAGGGATGTCCTCCACTGACAGGGTGAAGGAACTGAACCTTTTTAAGTCTTGTTCAGGTCCCCTTGTAGTCTTTTCTGTTCAAGCATTTAAAAGCCTCAGAGGTTGCTGACAGGGTCAGCCCAGCGTTTTTTTCTGCTAAGCAGTGGACAAGATGCGAGTGAAGACTACATGGAAAGCAGGTTAGGTGGGCCAAAAGGCTGCCTGACATTTGCGACCGTGCTCCTATGAGATTATTCAGCATCGGCCTTTTTCCCCAAAAGGGATCTTTTACTTGCAAAGAAAAAAGTTTCAGTGATACTTACACAGAGTTAAAGAGGTAGGCTCGGCCTTGGCTGCCTTGGAATGACTTCAAGGAGATGGGGGGGGAGAGAGAGAGAGTTCACGTAAGTCGAAAGGCAATGAAAATGTGTTACATTTCAGTAAAGGGAAGCCCAGCTGTATAAAAGTAAGGACTTGAAGACTTGAGAGTGACTGGGAAGAGAAGGGGCACAGCCACACAGTGCCTTTGTGTTTCACATGGAGCCCAGGTAGCGAGGGAGGGCAGAGCGGGTGAGGGGGGCACTAGGACCTGGTGGAAGAAACGCCCGTCCCGACTGTTCAGCTCGGCTGCATGCCAGCATGCGCGTTACATAAATGTGTGCTTTAAGTATGAAACGCACTCTTTTTGTGTGTGCATCTCTCACAGGCTATAGATTTATTTAAATGGGTTACAGCAGGCCTCCTTTGTGCCCGAATTAAAATAATAAAATATCCCTATTGTACACAGATTCCGAGGGGTCTGCCAGAAAGCCGGAGCCTGCTGGAGTGAGGGTTTAATGGGTGCCTGCACACTGGCAGGCCTTCCTCACAAAACCCCCTTTCATTCCGAGCGCAGCTCCACCAGCGCTGCCCAGAACACAAGCACATTCCTGCCTCAGCTCTCTCGGCTTGTTGTTTTTCTGACAAGAGAGAAACACAGATCTGTCTGTAATCCTGTTATCCCCCAAGCTGAAGGCTGAAGGGCATCAATGTGACGAGACGGGGCTGAAGACGTAAATGCACGTCGTGGTTCTTCACAATACGTCCCCGATTCTGCAGAACATAATGCACAATAACCTTCCTCGGTATTTAAAAACGGCAATGCCCCACGGCCGAAAAGGTGTTTCTTTTCCTCTTGGCATGGAATGACCTTTTACCTGTTCCTCTGCAGCCTTCGCATGCTGACGCAGCTCCCTGCCCCAGAGCCTTCACTATTAAAATCTCAACAGCTATGCCCTACCGCCATGAACAAGTTCATTCCACGAATTCTAGCTCCTGCAAATGTCCTGCCAGGAACAGTCCAGAGGACCAGCCTTCGAGCCAAAGGCTTTCGGGGTTTTTTTTCCCCCCTGCAGAAATACTTTTCAAAAGCGCCAGCGGAACAGCACGTGGCGTCCGCACCGTTTAGGAGAGTTCATAAAACAGTGGCTCCTCCCGGCTCCCCCAGGCCACAGCCCGATTTAAACCCCTCGCTGTGTTTTTGGGTGTACCCCGACGCAGAATCACAGGGGGGCTGTGCTCCGCTGGAACGGCGCCAGCGCAGCACAGCAAAGGGCGACGGTATGCAGCACATTCCAGGTGCAGGCTGGGAACCCTGCAGGCCAGCGCCCCTGTGATGGAGCAAACCCAGGCGCAGGACGATTCGCACCGCAGGCACCTCTTTCCCTTTCTCACGTGCTCCGTTTTGAAAGTGCTCCACAGGTGTTTTGCCATCCCCCCCCCAGCATTTGGAGACGACAGGTGTGGTTTGAACTGCTAAGCCTGCTCGCTGATGGCCCCTTTGAGGGCGGCTGGCGCCGAGTGCTGGTTAGCTACCGTCATTCCGCGTAAAGAGCCCTTCTCGGAAAGCCACTCCAGCGAGCAGCTGGAACGTTGACACGAAACGTTTTACTGTCCATCTGGAGAAGCACTTGTGCTGGTGTCCCCATCACAGTGCGTGAAAGCTGCAGCTCGGAGGAAGGCCAGCATCAGGAGGAGGAGGAGGAGGAGGAGGAGGCCCCATGAGACATCTGCTTCCAATCTGCTCAGCGCTCATCCTGGGAACACAGGTGGTCTGACCCCCCCATGTTCTCCAGCAAGAGCTGCTGTCATTGTCCTTTCCGTTAGGAGAAAAAAAATGGAATACTTGTTTTTGGCAACACAGGGGGGGTTTTTGGGGGGACCGGTTGTTTCGGCGGCGGTTTACCAGTTGTTTTTTTGGGGCATTTTTTTGGGACCACCAAAAAAAAGTTATCAGAGCAGATGCAAAGCAGCCAGTGGGTTAAACCACATTAAAAACTAGGCAAATGGGTTAAGAGCGTTTTGCATTTTTTTTTAAAAAGTATGTTTGCTAGAAATGCCCTTAAGGCTCGTCTGTGCGTGCGTTTGCAGAGTGGTGTCCTGTAAATAGGTGTCTGTCACCACCACACGAACGACAATCAGATCGGCTTTGCTTTTCCACAGCAAATTAGCTTTACCAAAGGCTGACAAAGCCGACAGCTGCTGCTTCTGCGTCTCTCTCTCTCCCTCTCACGTCTTCTTACATCAGTCAACAAAGCCACAAAAGGAGAGCCTGTTCTCTGGGAGGAGAGGCAGGTTCTCACTTTGGAGTGACCTTCAGGGGGAACTCTGAAGAGGAGGTGGGGCAGTGCTGCCAGCTCGGCACATCTGCTGGAGAACAGGCTCCACCGTTACCGTGGAACAAGCGACTGGCACCACACAGTACCCGTTCCAAATGGCCAAGCCCTGCACTACTGAAGCTGCCTCCCACAGAGCATGGGCAGGGCAGTGGCTCTGTGGCTCAGGATCTGTGCCTGTGGCTGTGGCTGGGAGGTTGCCGGTTTGAGTCCCACGAAATCCTACCCTGTTGGACCCCTGATCAAGGCCCTTCACCCCAACTGCTCCAGGGGCGCCGTATGAATGGCTGACCCTGCGCTCTGACCCCAAGCTTCTCTCCCTGTCTGTGTGTCTCATGGAGAGCAAGCTGGGGTCTGCGAAAACTTTAAAAAAGAAAAACATGGCAGAAGCAAAAAACAAAACCAGGGAGCGCAAAAGGACTGGAAGTGAACTGCATTTTAGAAAACTCGCATGGAAAACAGCACTTCCCAAGGGCATTTGAGCATGAACAGGATTTGAGTTTTCGGTGGCATGGCTCTCTACTAGTTCCCAAGCGACATGTGCTCATATATATCCCTTAAATGACCATTTAAGGATTTAACTACAAGTAGTTCTTCCAAAATCTTGCCTTATCCCTGTAACAGGGCAAAGAAAACAGTCTGGTGAATAAATGTCAGGAAAGACTGAACGCAAGTGGAGATGGTCCATCTACTGCTACCTGCTAGGAGCTCATTGCTCTGCGCTTGCAGAAGCAAAATCATTCCGAGGCGATTTCAAGTGCCAAACCAGATCGGTTCTCCTACTTCATCCCCGCTAGGAAGCCGAGAGGTTGGCGCACAGTCTCGCTCGTCTTTTTCATTCCTCAAGCATGCCGCCCGTCTGCCACGTTCAGGAAAGCCTGTGGTGCCAACCTGCCCACTCCCACATCCCCTGGGTTCGGCTGCTTGCGGGATACGCATCACGGAGAGCACAAACCCTCCAGGATGTCACGTGGCTCTTCCCGAAACAGAAGGAGAGCAGCTAGGAGCAAAGTACAATCATACTGCAAATCAGATTTCCCTGGAGCATGGCAAGGTTTCTTGCTACTATACTCAGGAATACATAGAGCGATTCATACGATTCAGCAATCTCACAGTGGCTGCCTCTCTATGTGTGGATACATTCACTGATTATGTATGTACAGGCAGCAGCGTGAAGCAGCGATAAGTAGACCTAACTAGAGGGCTGCTGGTTCAAACCCCTTGTGAGGCACAGCTATTCTTCACTTGAACATAGTGCTTCACCAAGATCACTCCAATACAAATGCCTAGACACAATATAGAAAAAGATCACTTGTATCCAAGAAAAAAAAAATTTGTATCCATGATATTCGTTGTGATCTATAATGCTGGTTTATATCAGGGTTAATCTCTGGGGAAAAAAAGACTTGCACGGGATGAGAGGTCTGAATTTTAAGCATGGTTACAGCTCCATTAACTTATATTCCAGTATTTCTGCAGGAAGTATCTTCAGTTCCACACTGACCAGGCCTTAATCCACCTGTGATCTACTCTACAGGTCTTATTCATTAATAGAACTGTAGATGCTTGCCAGGGATCCTGCTCTAGCCACCTTATCACTGTGAAAAGCAGAGCTTTGCACCCATCAGATAACACCTCAAAGCTCCATCATTTAATGCAGCAACATTAATCCATTAAACCTAGACAGCAATAACACCTAAGCAGTTACTGTTTGAATTATTGAAATAGGCTTGGAGAAAACAGCATTTTTCTATATTCATATTTAGTGTGCAACTGGTAAATGTCATTACAGCTATAAACAAATTCTAGACACCCGACAAGGAACCTTAGGGCTGTATTTTATTTGATGCCACACAAGATCTCTAAATATTAGGTTTCGCGAGTGTTTCAGAACCTCAATTTCTTGCTAGGATGACACAGAACTCGTGATTTTGTTTTCAAAATGTTTCTAAAGATCTTTCCACAAGCACGTACACAGCCAGACATGGAATCTGGAACACGCACCCCTGCCCACTGCTGAGGGTGGTGTGGAGTTGCTAAGCTTTCTTTACTGCTGCCTCTTATCACCAGAATCCTGCCAGGCTCTGCTAATTCAGAAAGACAGTTCCTCATTTGATTAAGTTTCCTACTTCACATGAAAGAGCACTTCTGTGAATGTGCAACAGCCCAGTCAAGTGCGGTGTGAAGATCCTATCAGACAGAATCAGGCGGAAATCAAGACATTTCCAACGCAGATCCCTTATCCTTAAATGATCTGCGTTTCCGAATGGAGTCGTTTTGAAGAAACGGAAGGAATCACGATTTTGCAGAACACTGTAGCATCCATCATCTAAACTCAAGAAACCCTTTAAGAAGAACAACGAAGGTGTTTGTTATGTAAGCTAGCTTACTTCACAACACAGCAGAGCTCCCGAAGAGGGAGGGGCGGGCCTGCTCTGAGCTTGGCCGAGAGCAGAAAGGCTCAGCTCAACTCGGAGCAAAGTCTCCTGTATCCCCTGCTGGCTGCCTGCCCACTCTCCAGCCTCTGCTGGGGTAAAGGGCTGAGAAAAGGAAGTATCCATTGCTGGTGTGCCGAAACGCAAAGCCATGTGCTGCAGCTTTGTTACTAAATACCTAACAACGTACATTTCTGGCAGCCCCGGGTGTCTCCAGCTGAAACAGTTTCCACCTTTTCAGGCAAATTCCTTTTCAGAACGCCACAGATTTTATCAGGAAATGTGTTAAAGCAAGAATAATACCAGTGGAGTTTTGAGAACCTTCCAGCCGGGCAAAATCCACACCCTCTTTTTAATTCTGAAAGCGGGGCCAAGGGGAACAATGAGACAGGGCGATACACCACAGCAAACCAGCCCCTCCATCCTCCCATGACAGGACGCCAGGCCCATACAGAGAACAGTCTCTTCCCCTGAACTGCAGGGAGCAAGGGAAGAACACAAACCTCTGGTTTTTCCTGGCAAATTCATGGAAAAACCTAGAATTCTGTGAACAAACGTTCCTGATGATCGCGTTCAATATAAGAACTACAGCTGCTCAGCTGTCAAGGGTGCAGAGCACTACACAGGCAAGATACACCCTGAGCCCTTTCAACCTGTTGCATGCACATAAACAAAAACCACACTAAATTGATGCCTAATTGAGGCAAACAGTTGGCAGCGCTCAATGGAAAAGATGAGCCTCACAGTATCATCCTTCCATTGGCATAATCAGCTTAAGGGTAATACCTCACCTCATGAAGCATTACGGGGTTACGGGCGAGAGGCTCAGAAGGTACAGCCTCCTGAGCTCAGTTATAAATAGCTGCAGAACTGGCCATCAGGAAGACCTTTGCTGCAGTAGGCAGCTCGTCCTCTCCAGCCCCTTTCCTAGAGGCGCCATGAAGCTCCCTCCCTTCGGACAGGGAAAGGGTGCCCTGCAGCTCAGGCCTGCTTTGCATTCAGGGCTCTCTTGCTGATCTCCAGACGCATTTACCACCTTGCGTCACGGCAGAAGCATGCTGATTTGAAAAGGGAGACAGGGGAGATAAACGAGGTTTTAGCTGTGGAATACTTTTTTTTTTTTAAAAGAGAAATAAAAAAAAAAGCTTCTGTTTAGATGGGCAGTTGAGAGCACCTGCCGAGACACACGGACAAAAACTTCACCCCCGACTCTACACTCTGTTAACACTCCCTCTTACACTTTTTTTTTTTAGATCAAGAGTGTGGTAAAGTTTTAGTTTTGCAGATACTTCCTGGAGGAAGGAGTATGTTTCTGCTAACAGAGGTGAAACGAGCTGTAACAGTCATCTTCACTGCTGGCATCAGGACCCAAGGGAAGACAGACATGTAAACACAGAAAGCCATTTAGAAAATACTTGATGTCTTCTTTTCATTACCTGTGACACTTGAGTGACTAGACTAACTACATTCTCCTTCAGTCACATGCCGGGCATCAATTAACCAGCTTGCAAAAATATGTCGGCCCCTCAATTGTAAATCTTTAAACGAGGAAAGCCTGATGGAAATTATTAGGTTAAGTACTGTGCCCATTTCCAATCTTTCTTTCATGCAAAGTATTTAAGTCATGACAATACATGTACAGGTGCTGATTTATTAAAGCATTTTCTTCCGACCTGAATTAAGCTACTTATTAAGGAGAGGAAATACCCAACACTGTTCCTTCTGCGATCAGCAGAAATGCTCAAGCTCCGAGTTAATTACCACACTGAACTTTTCTGAGAGAGAAACCAAGCCTTTATATTTCTGATTTGTTGTTTCCAAACGAAGGTTACGTGCAGTTCGTAGCCAAAGTAAAGCCCTGTGCTGCTATTACATAATCTAATGAGGGGAGCAGAGAAAAACCTCTGGAAATTAATTCAGATGTAAGCATCCAGGAAGTGAAAATCTATAGTCTTGGCATTTTTCCGATACGATGAAAGGCTTAAATTCAGTGTGCCCAATCTGCCTAGGAAAATAATTTTACCATCAGTATTAGACTAGAGGAAAAGTGTTACAAACAGAATCAGATTTCATTAACCCCCTGCACCTCATGAATTTACAGAATGAACAACTAGGTTAAACTGGCTCTGCAAATTTGTGCTGTTTCAGCACAGTGCAACTGTTTAATTTAGATCAGTACGATCTTTATACTAATAAAACAGTGATCAAATATTCAAAGTGATCAAACTTGGGGCTCTTGTTTGCAGGCAATGTATTGTGCGCCAGCAGGACAGGCTTCATAATGCTGACTGCTATGATAAAGTCAATACAAATTGATTTTGACAAGCACACTTTGCTGTACCAATGGAAAAAAATGCTGGGGTTTAGGGCATCATCTTCTCATATGCGATAATCGGCTTATGACTGAATAGACTTGACTCGTGCATGGTGTATTAATACAGCTCTGACAGATGCTTTACGCTTATGACACTGAGGAACTGAATGCCTTACAGCCCCCACACCTCCCGCCTGAGTCTGACATTGCCAAGATCACACCTGCAGCCTGGCCGCTGTCCACACCAGCTGCTGGGTTCACCTTGGACATACAGAAGCAATGCCTCACTCACAGCCTGCAGTTGTGCTAAGAATAGACCTCTCCAAGTTTCTCTCGGTGCACTATCTTGCTTTCCGGACACGTGAAATCAAGATTTTTTTTTTCATGAGACTGGAAATGGGTTTGGCGTTGCAGCATACCTTATCGATCTGACCTACAGGGCACGCCGGTGTTTAACTGCAATTTCTATTTTTATTTCTTCGAGCTAGTGAGCAACTGGATGAACGGAGTGCAGAAAAAACAGACTGGCCGACACCAAGGGATCTGTAGTCTTCATCTCTGACTGGAGAACTTGCAATCGTACCCTTGCGCAGGTCTGAACTCATTTACACACAGCCCACGGCCCATTTTCTCCCCACGCACATCACCACTGAAGACACACCAGCACACCCAGGCAGGGCTTCTGATGGCTGTCCTAGTGCCACAGCCAACCCAGGGGGTAGAACCGTCCAAGTCCCAGTGTGTCAGGAAGAAGCTGGTCTCCTAACATGAAGGCTTCACCCTCGCAGTGCTACCAGTCTCTCAAGCTGGTTACCGGCACACATGGCCCACTGTGCCATTAGTGATCTGCTGGAGACCCTTATAAACTCAGACTAAAAGAAGTGAGCAGAAATGACTCTTCGTGACTCCCCTGATGCAAGACGCCGTGCGTTTCAGAACCTTGCCTCGGGGAGACGCCATCAGACCTGCCCGGCCTCCGCAGAGTGTCTTCCCCAATGTCATCACCCTGCTTAACCGGAACCCAGGGACATGGCCGTGGAGCGTACACAGCTGTGGATCTGTACACGTGCTCTGTGTGAGGCGAACACCTAATATTGATTCCTTGTGCTTGTAATTTACTTGGCAAAGTGATTCTGCCAGCAGCTCTATCACCCTGCAACTCACAGCTGGCAGCCCACTGAAGCCCAGCAGTGTGAGCCTGGTCAGTACCTGGAGGGGAGACCTCCTGGGAAAAACTAAGGTTGCTGCTGGGAGAGCTGTTAGCGGGACCAGTACAGGGCCCAGTATAGCAACGGGGACACTGTACTGTAAATAGGCACTGTCCTTCAGATGAGATGTAAAACCAAGGTCCTGGCTCTCTGTGGTCATTAAAAATCCCAGGGCGTTTCTTGAAAAGAGCAGGGGTGTTACCCCTAATAACCCCCATCTCTGAACTGGCTTCATCCCTCTGCTCTCCTCCCCACTGAGAGCTGGTGTGTGGGGAGAGGACTGGCGCATCATCCAGGTGGGGCTGCACACTGGTGGTGGAGGGGACCCCCATTACCCGTAAAGCACTTTGAGTGGAGTGTCCAGAAAAGCGCTATATAAGCGTGAGATATTACTGTTGTAATTATTCTGATTATGAACAAAGTTCTTTACTCTACTGGAAAAGTCAAAAATGCCACATAAGCACAACTTTGAAGCAGCATTGTGCTCAGTTCCCCAGACTCTTTGGCACTTTAACTGTAAGGAGATTTATGCTTTAAATTGCTTTTATCGCCGAGCTGAAAAGTGCCTGGGTGCGGCCTACTGTAGCTGACTACTGAAGGGAATCAGGAGTCTGACAGCCGCCCCAGGACTGTGAAAACGGGTGGGGGCTGAGACCTCTTACCTTCGAGATGAGCTCATCGTGGTTCGCAAGATGCGCTCTGCAATGAATACAGCTGTAGGTCCTGTGACAGTTTGGCAGGTACGCCTGAAAAGTCTTGGACTTTGTCATCTTCACCATCTCCGTGTCGGGCTGCTCCTCGCTGAGCTCGGGGCTGGCGCTGGAAGAGTTACAACTCTGCTGGACTTGCTGACAGAAGAAACACTGAAAAATGCAAGCAAAAGCCGTCGTTGTTCTGGAGTGGGTGTGTGGCTCGGTCCACACAAGCACCACGAGAGAAATGGACACCTGCAGGACAGAGAAGGAAACGGGGGAGGGGAGACAAACAAAAAGACCATGAGTGACCATGACCTCACTTATTCATATTTTATTCACTATTTCAGGCCAAAAAAACAGCTCAATGCACCTTTCAATCTTTTTAAATGCTTATTCTTGTAAGCCCTACTTAACTGATCTTCATTTGAAACTAGAAAAGGTGAAATCTATGCTGAATTGGACCCGTATGGATCTGGTCTTTCAGATGGGACGAAGGCATCAGAATTGACCCATGATCACTTAATAAGAACAAGACAGGTCACGATAAAGAGGCCACATAGCCTATCAGGTAGTAAGCTTATTGATCTGAGCATCTCATCATGCCATGTCTTTGAGGAAACCAATCCACATGGGCTTGATAGCTCATTCCAAATTCCCAAACCCCCACTTGGGGAAAGAAGTGCCTCCTGTTTCATTTTAAATGCACTTCTGTGCAGTTTTAACTTGTGCCTCAGGCAGGGGTTTCAATGCTCATGCTGAGGTGCTATCAAATGACAACTGTCTTCCCGTTTAGAATCTGCAATTGTGCACAGCAATGCTGTGACTGCAGCTAGCTGCCTAACGCCCCACGTCTACACGAGTCAGGGAAAAAGGAAAAAAGACCAGACAGCAGAAGGGGTGTCAGATTTCACGGATCGAAGGAATTAACCCCTTATTTCTCCATCCTGTACCTACAAGACCAATCAGAAGGTGTTTGCATTGGCAATTTTTAAACATATAATAGAAAACATGAATGGCATCTTTTATGGGGCCCCTAGAGCTTGTCTTAATGATATTTAAAAAAAAGAAATTCCCAGCAGCTTAGCATCCAGCTAGCAGACTCATAAAAAGGAACCGCGGAAGTCCATCAGTGATGCATCGATGTCAACTTCATTGCAAAAAATCCCAGCCTAACAGACTGAAACTTCAAACCACAAAACATCCGGTACGTCTCAGCGGCCATGCAACTGGGTGACTACATTTTTTTTTTTGCCCACAGATATCTGTAGGGCCCTTGGAGCTCATGGCTAATCAGCTGAGCCGTGTTGCACAACAGCAAAACAGAAAATCACAAGTATCATAGTAAAATCTCCCCGGCTCAGGAGGCAGCTTAGAACAGGAACCATGTGCACAGCCTAAACCCACACTTGCTACTCCGCACACCAGCACAAGAGTTCCCGCAAAAGAACAGGAAATTCAGCTTGATGCGTTTCTAGAGTGATGCTACATACTGAGAACTACTGCCAGACTAGCAGGCAGGCTGCTGTACAGAATGTTTTACTGAACTGAGCTAGTTTCTCTGCTCTCGACAGACCCTCATCACGCGTACTCCTCCCTTTAAAGACCAAGACTCCTGTATTCCTACACAATAATCTCACACAGTTGTGGTGGAAGGTGGCACAGTTTGATCTGGAGCACTGTCACCGCGGTGCTGTGGTGGGTTTCTAACACTGCTTGCAGGAAACTAGGCAGCCCCATTTCAAGCCGGCAATCATGAAAACGTTCCCTTTTTTTTTTTTACCCACAGCAAGCACACGTGACAAGCCACGCATTTCACTTTTAAACACGGGTAAACACCAGCCACTTATAAAACTGTGCATCGAGGCCAGAAACAGTGAGAAAACGGGAAGCAGAAGCGAGAGGGAGCTGTAATAAATTTTGCAAGAACACCAGAAAAAAAAGTCAACCGTAGCAGACGGCAAGCAACACAAGACAAAAATACAACCTATTTCCTATGGGAGAGGCTGCAGAAAGAGATTTACTGCTGTGACCGCGGTTAACTGCTTTCCTCTGCTCGCCGCGCACACGGGCTGGAGGCGGGGGTACCCCGGGTAGCCCCTGCCGGGGCGCCACAGCAGCTCGCCGCATTGAGTTTCGTCCACAAAGAGCTGCAGCCCACGCGTGGGAAGGACGCAGTTAGGGAAAAGGGGACGAGTCCGCCTGTGGTTTCGCCCCGCGCTCTTTCAAATGAAGCGTTCACCTCGGCAAAGGCCACTTTAAGGCTTCGAGGTTTTTTTTATTATTAAAGCTTACACGTCTTTAAATATGGAAAAGTACATTTCTTCTCGGGGCTCTTTGACGTGCGCTCTGTTCTATTTATAAATGTATGATTTAGAGTTGGTAGCAAATTCACGAGTGAGGAGGCGGTCACAGAGCTGAACCAGGTACACCCAAAGGCGCCCGCTGTGTACACTTGTTTTGTTTATTTTGGACACTCGGTGCTTCTGTACTGCGTGCGCTGTCTTTACTACACCCCGAACACAGCGAGATCAGCCTTAACCTAAGAACAGGAGCTTTCCCACTCCGACTCTGAAACAAGCCCGAAGACAAAAACGAACTTATTCCCCACCCCACCCAAAAAAAAAAACTTTGGGGGTACAAAAATCCCCCCCACACCGGTAACGCGAGCTGTCACGTCGCGAATGAAAAAGGTTTGACACCTGGGCGCGCGCGCGCTCGCGCGTCCGCTCGCGCACACACAGACCACGGCGCTCGCCGAACAGGAAGCGCAACAAAAACAAAATAAAAGAGGAACACGTTTCCGTCTCGAAACTCGACGTCTAGGCCACTTTCAAACAAAGTCGTGAACTGGCTCACCCGTGTTCTCAACAGCACGTTCTGATAACTAGTCTTGGAAGGCTCTACGGAGTCCAAAGAAAAAAATAAAAATAAAAACAAAAACAAAGAGACCACGCTCCCCCTGCCTAGCCTATAGATCAAGTAGCCATCGGCGCATCTTCTGTCTTCTGCAAGCCCGACTGGAGTTTGCAACAATAAGTGCAGCCGTGACAGTCTGAACAACGGGGTTTATTACGTGCGGGGAAACGTGTTTGCTTACGACGACCCGTGTTCCCCTCTTGACTGATGTTAAATGTTGAGAAATACACTTGCATAACAATGTTGGAGGGGTAATGTTTTCTATGGAGGCCGTAAAGGAAGCAGTTTTGGTCTCATACCTGAAGCGTGAAAACGAAAAAAAAAAAAACTCCAGACAAGAACGCACGTCGCGGGTTACGATTTCCAGGTTATTTTTTAGAAATATGTTAAATCCATCACCATCTAACATAGTGTTCGCTTTCGAACTGTAGGAGCTCAGGAGAAGGATACTGCGCCAATCTCAAACTAATTCAGCAGTCAGCTGCGGTAGCATTAGACTTCCAAGCTTCGAACCAAGCGTGATTTCACCCACGTCAAAACAGATGGCCTTCACCCCCCAAAAATAAATAAAAACAACAGAAGTGGAACCGTTTGTGCGCTTAGCATGAAATCAGACCCAGCTGGTTTAATTTCCCTTAATCGTTCCAATTTAGCGCTTAGAAACTCACCACCTGTGACGACCTCTTTCCTTCTCCAGTTTTCCAACATAGAAGATCTTTAGGGTAAATTAGATATTTCCTTTTTTTAAAAAGGGGGGGGCAGATAAGTGTGTATCTAGTTCGTCCGGTTCGACGTCAGGCGCTGTAACAGCGGAGGCTGTGCAGGCGCGCTCCTGTCCGCTTTGTTATTTTCTTTGTGTCTGTTTCAGCTGGCCTGCTGGCTCCGCGCGGGCGACGTCACAAAGGGGCGGGGGGCCGCGACGGCGAATCACGACGCGATTGACAGGCGAAGCGGCCACCCGGCGGGCAAGAGGGGGCGGGAGCAGGGTACTGACGATCACAGACCCGGATGTGTAAACAAATACGGGATAAACGCATGCGGAGCATGTGCAGTAGAGCCGATCTGGGCATGACTTCATAATGCTCGCAAGGTTTCTATAGACACGAGCATTTGATGCACACACGCTAAATAAGAATGGGTTTATCTCGGATATGTGCTCTCAAAGGAAGAAGATGAAGGGACCCGTCGAGGACATTATATAAAATCAAGAATCCTGCGCGACAAAAAAAAAATGCTACACAAGTCATGTGCTGCTGGAAAACTAACCCATAAGCAATCAATCTAAAACGCACAACAAGCAAATTAAGAGGAAATTAATCACCCATGGACTATTTTACACTCCTCTATAACCGCAATCAACAGCGGAAGTACTCGAAAGAAAATAAATCTAAAAAACGGGGACAACTTCACAGGAAACTAGTTTTTAGTTTGTTAATCATAACTAAGAAAATTAAACTTGCGGCTACGATTCGTGTATGCGTTTCCGATTTCCATTCATGAAGTCAGTGCGTATGCCCACCCTTTCAGAAAGACAACTGCCTCGTTTTCCTGATTCCATCACAATGGACCCAGTGGGACTGGAATCTGCATCGAACTGAACCCGTGATCCAGCCCAGAAGCGGGTGACGTCATGTGTTTGCATTCCGCGTCCTCTCTGCTTTGTGACCTAGTTGTTCCATCGCCGAGAGCACCTAAATACGCGCCTCTTTCAATTGAAAAATCGATTTGAAAACCCAACTAATTTTCTTTTTACAAAAATTCAGGAGCGCTGGCCCGCATGTCATAAACCTATTTGGGATAATGACCCAGAGAGAAGCCAGAGTGACCTTTTATTCCCTACACGAATATCCCAAAACACTGCCAGCTAGATCTCTTTCAAACCAAACAACTGCCACATTCAGTGATTCGCAAAGTCCATAAAATAACATTAGCAATCAAACTAATTTAAAGCAATACTTTAGTCTTCCCTGAACGCATGTCCCCAGAAAACCATACTTACGCTCAATTAATTTCCTCCTCTTCGTCAAATCGTGGAGAAGCAATTTTCTCCCTTTTATCAGCCTCTCTCTGTTGCGGTCTGAGCCCGATGGCGAGGCGTCTTCAGTGTCTGTTACTGCATTTCATATTTCTGCTTGTTAATTGCAGCGCCCGACCCCTGCAATTCATTGGCGGCGATCACGTATGTCTGTTTTTACTCCTGAGCGCCGAGCGAACTGCGGAATGGCGAGACCTCAGCGACATTCCACGCGAAAAACAAAAAACTAGCTGTGAGATATCTCCATCGGTTGCACTTCGGCTACGCGCTACTGCGGGCTGTTTCTGCTGAAAAACAAAAGCCTCAAGACTTTCTCCGAAATAACAAATCTTTGGATTTAGGTCTAAACACAACGCGACGATTCGCCCGAGGTGTTCAACGCAGAGTCTGGTAGGAGCGTCGACAGTGTTTGCTAGGCGAGCCCCCTCCGTCCTCTCTTCCCCAGAAATATTTCATCAAAGAAAGGTTTTGCTCCGCTGTTTCCCCCCTGCTTCCCACGCGTGGATCGGCCGTGTGGCTCCGCCGCACGTTCGGCTAATTGGACCCAGCTGGCTCGCGCACGGCTCCGTGCGTTGATATCACAGCGTCAGCTCGAGCGCTGCTGCAGCCTGGGCTTTTGTTTTG